ACCATCATACTCTTTAGCAATAAGATCGTGGTCAAGAATGAGATTTGAATTTGGAGGGCCGTTTGCATACAAACATTGATCTTGTTCAATATTTCTACAATTTAGACGTTGCATCTTGTATTTCACATTGAAAGCGGAACCAATACAATCTGTAGAAACATCTCACAACAACAAAAAAATTTTGTTAGATATCACAGCATAGTACCTAAGAAAAGTCAAAACTCAATATAGGTAAAAACACAGTACGTAAGAAAAACCAAAACTTAATATAGATGTTATTCATATATGAAAAAAGGATTGAATTGATGGATGTGTCAAATAAACAAGGTGGAAATATATGAGACACTGATAAATCAATATCTCATAACAATAATTCTTTCAAAGCATAAGCTAGATTCAATATTTCATAAAAAAAAAAAACTCAATACATACAAGATTCCTGAAATTATAGATCTGCAAAGTAATTGAAATTGAGGTAGCTATTTCAATATTAATTAAATCACACAAGAGAAACTTATTAGAAAATGAATTTGAGTTTTCATTCTCAAAAAACTTTCCTTCAAAACAAAAAAAATATATTTGATGCTCGTTCACAAACAAAAACAAAACCAAGATGAAACTCGTGCAAACAACATAGTTTCACAACAGTACGATCATTGGGCTTATTGCCAAGAGGCTCTACCCAAACCGAACAATACTCCAAAGGAACCTCATCATCATCCTCGGCTAATGTTCAGATCGAAAGCGATTTCTTTGCCTTTGTCAAGGTTCGATCCTAACCTCTTACACATAGTTTTTCTTATGAAACAAAAAAAAACAATAAATCTCATGCTCTAATTTATGAGAGTTGCAAAAACCATTGTATGAAATTCCACAAGTGCAGGGTGGTATTTATAATAGATGTAATCGTTCAGATAACGTTAGCTGTTACACAAGATTTTTTTTTTCTTAAAATTTTTTCACTTTTTATTACCAGTCAAAAGATTGTTCTCATAGTTCACTTTTTTTTTAATCTTAATTGTATGCATTTAAGAAATATGTAAAAACACAACTAGATAACGGTTTACTATTAGACAAAAAAGTGTACTATGAGAAAAATATTTGAGTGGTGATAAAAAATGTAACAATTTAGAAAAAAAAATTAGAATCTTTGTAATAGCTAATGTTATCTAAACCACCACATCTACTATAAATACCACGTTTCACTTGTGGAGTTTTATACAATGGTTTTTGCAACTCTCATAAACTACAGCTTGAGATTTATAGTTTTTTGTTTCATACGAAAAACTATGTCTAAAGGGTTAGGGTCAAACCTTGACAAAGACAAAGAAATCGCCTATGATCTGAACCTTGAACCCGAGGATGATGATGATGAGGTTCCTTTAGAGCAATGTTCGATTTGTGTCGAGCTTCTTAGCAATAAGCACAATGATTACACTGTTGTGAAGCTATGTTGTCTACACGAGTTTCATCTCGATATATAAATCTTTGTTTTTGTTTGGGAACGAGTATCAAATATTTTATTTCTGTTTTGAATGGAAGTTTTTTGACAATGGAAACTCAAATTCATTTTTTATTGAGTTTTTTATGTGATTTAATTAATTTTGAACTAGCTACCTCCATTTCAATTACTTTGCATATCTATAATTTGAAGAGTCTTGTATGTATTTTGTGTTTTTTAGCTTTTTATTTTGAAATATGGAATCTACCTCAAGTTTTGAGATAGTATTTATCAATGTCTCTTATATTTCCACCTTGTTTATTTGACACATTCACTAATTCAATCCTTTGTTCAGACATGAATAACATATGTGTTTTTGTCCATATTAAATTTTGGTTTTTCTTACGTACTATGTTTTTGTCTATATGGAGTTTTGGTTTTTCTTACGTATTATGCTGTGATATTTTTTTGTGACATGTTTCTACAGATTGTATTGGTTCCGCTTTCAATGTGATATATAAGATGCAATGTCCAAATTGTAGGAATGTTGAACAAGGGTTGAAGGGAAAGATTTGATATTATGACTATTTATATTTACTTTGATGATGTTCAACTCTATACTACAATGCGCATGATCTCATGAAGCACAAATACAGTTAAGCTAAAGAGTAAGTCAAACAATTTGAACTTCATGGAATAAACAAACAGCAAATACCTGATATCATGATACATACCATGGATCTCTTTTAGATGTTTGCCAAGTAGAACTACAATAATAAGAATTTTCTTTAAAATTGTTCTCTAGTTTAGAAAATAGAAAAGAATAAGTTTGTTTTTATGAACCATAAAAAGTACGTTTATAAAACAAGAAAAAACAAGAATAAATCATTTTTTAGGAATAAGTCAATTTTATTAATTTATCTAGATTTTATAAGAACAATACACAAAATCAATTATTACAAACATTAACTTCCGATTGGTGCCTTAAAAGAATAGTGAAATGGTACCAAATTTTAAAGTGGTAAAAAAATAGAGGTGGTGAATACGAAGACAATGGAAATATAAAATTAGACAACACAATTCAGATTTCGTAATGGTTGTAAGAAGATTTATTCACTATAAAAACATATCAATAAAATAGTACATGAATATGGTGGTACAAAAGAAAAAATGAATGTACAAAAGACAATAAATATTGTGGTACAAAGAAACAATGGTGGTTCACAAAATGTTTAAAAAGGTGCTACATACCATTTTTCGTTTGAATCCTCTCAATGTCCATACCTATCCAATTGTTGTTTACGTTACCAATCGAAGATGCGGAAATTAGTTCGATTTGGTAACACTGGAAAAATACAAGTAAAGAGGTA